TCCCGGGTGATCAGTCCGGGGGATGATTTCCTTTCTAGAAGTGAAATTTCCTTATATTCCTGACATTCCATGTTCTGGGGATTTGCCTCCCCTCCATCGTCTCGAGAGTGTAAGACCCGTTGCGGTGAGCTTCGATAACTTTGTAAGTTCCTTCCCATATAGGACCTAGTTTTCCCTAAGGCTGGGCATGACTTGCCTCATTTCTTCATAGGACGTAATCTCCTATCTTGAAAGCTTTTTTCTTTGACTCTCTAGTTGTAGTATCTTTCCATGACATTTTTGTAAGTCGCGTGACGAATGTTCGATTGCTCACGCCTTTCTTCGATGAGGTCCAGGCTTAGCCTCAAGTCTTTATCATTGTTTGCTTCTTCGAAGTAGGTCGTGCGGGCGCGAGTCAATTGCTAGTTGTACCAGCAGCATTGCTTATGTGCCGTAAGTTAGACTAAAAGGCGTTTCCTTTGTGCTCATTCTCGGTGTGGTTCTGTATGACCAAAGTACTCTCGGTAATTCTTCAACCTAGTTACCTTTAGCTCTCCCCAGGTTCCTTTTTATTCCATTTACCAACTTTCTATTGGACACTTCAGTTTGGCCGTTGGCCTGAGGGTGTACCACTGATGTGAACCGTTGTTCAATCCCTTTTTCAGTACACCAGCTCCAGAATGGGTTTTCTGCGAACTGTAATCCGCTATCGCTGATCTGTACCTTGAGCGTTCCAGACCTTGTCATGATGTTTTTCCATGGAAATTTGTTGCCTTCCATATATGCACGCTAGTGGATCGACCTCTATCCACTCGGAAAAGTAGTCAACTGCGACTACTAGGAACTTCCCTTTTTCCGGGGGCGTCTGGGAATGGTCGGACAATGTAGATTCCCTACTGGTAGAAGGGCCACACACTAGAGATACTCGTTACGTGTACTGGGGGGACCCCTTAGACTGGGGAATAAGTTTGGCATTCCACACATGTTCGCGTCACCTCTAACGCGTCTTGGTGTATGCTTAGCCAGTAAATGCTCATCTGAAGTATGTTCCCCGTAAGAGCCCTTGCTCCTTCATGTGCGCTAGCTGAGCCGGTATGCAACTCCCGAAGTGCTTCCTTGCCTTTGGTTTCATCAATGAACTTTAACCATGGCATCATGAACCCTTTTCGGTGTGCCCCTTCTATGACCGTATATACTGGTGCCTTGATTCTTACTTTCCTATCTTCTTCATGACTATCAGGTAGGACGTTGTGTTGTAGGTATTCAACGATTGGTGTCATCCAGGTGCATCGTGCTGTTGTCAAGGTGTGCACATGTCGTTCGTCTATGCTTCTTTCCTTAAGTACCTCCACCAAAACCTTCTTAGATAAGTAGTTGACGCATGTTGATGCCATTTTGATGATGACGTCTGCCCTTCTATTCTCCCTTCTTGGAATTTGCTTGATGGTAAACTTCTTGAGAGGCTTGACGAATCTCTGAACGACCTTTACGTATTTCTCCATTCGTATGTCTCTTGATTCAAACTCTCCATTTATTTGATTAGTTGCTAGACTCGAATCCGTTAGGGCTGTCACTATGTCCGCACCCATCTATCTAGCCAATCGTAGGCCAGCTAACAGCACTTCATACTCAGCCTCGTTGTTAGAGGTATATAAGTCGAAATGGAGGGCGTAGGTGATTTCTTCCCCGCCTGGGCTTGTTAGGATCAGGCCCGCCCCTGATCCCTCTTTGCTAGATGCACCATCGATGTATAGGGTCCATTCCTAGCTGCCCTTTGGCCAGCCTGAACTTGATAGTTCTCTAATGCAAGTGGATGTTTAACGCTTGCCCGTTAATACTGGTACATGGGCGGTTGTTGTTGTCATGTTACCCTAATTCGATTGCCCATTTTGCTAGGCGTCCGGACGTTTCTGGCTTGTGTAATATCTGTTTGATTGGGTAGTTCATCAATACCTCTATCTGGTGGGCTTGGAAGTACTGCCTCAAGCGTTGTGCTTCATAGATGAGTGCGAGCACCAGTCTTTCAAGGATAGGGTAGTTGGTCTCTGATCCTTATAGGGCTCAGATGATAAAATAGACCATTATTTACCTTACTTCCTTTTCCACTACCAGCACTGAGGAGGTGGCTTCGTTCGATGCTGAGAGGTATACTTGTAGTGTTTCACCTGGCATGGGGCTGGCTAGTATGGGCAATTTGTGTAGGGCTTCCTTGATGTGCTAGAGCATTGTTTCTGTTATTGATGTCCATTGGAAGTTGCTCTTCTCAATGAATCTCTTGAGAGTATGATAGAGTGGCATGGCTTTTTCTGCCAACTTAGAAATGAAACGGCTTAGAGCGGTTAGTTTACAATTTAGCCCTTGAGCGTCTCTCAGGGTGTGTGGGGATGGCACGTCCATCAACTCGTCCACTTTAGCCAGACTGGGTTGGATTCCTTCTTTGGTGACATAGTATCCCCATAATTACCCTTCTTCGATGCTAAAGGTTCAACTTCATCTGGACCTTCTATAGTGTTTTGAGTGTTTCTTCCACGTCTTCCATTAATCTCCTCTCATCTGGCATTTTTATGACCATGTCGTCAACGTATACCTTAATGTTTTTTCCACTATGTTTGGCAAAGATGGAGTCGATAAGACGTTGGTAGGTCGCACCTGCGTTCTTCAAGCCATATGGCATTTTGGTGTAGCAGAACAGACCATGGTCCATATAAGAAGTTGCCCTTTCTTCATCTTCCTTGTTCATTAAAATATAGTGGTACCCTTTGTATGCGTATAGAAAACATTATAGTCTGGATGCTTGTAGGGATTCTACCTTTTGATCAATCTCTGGTAGGGGGTAGCAGTCTTTGGGGCAAGCTTTGTTCAAATCAGAATAGTCAATGCACATGCGCCATGTGCCATCATGTTTTTTCTTACCATGATAGGGTTTGCGATCTAGGTTAGGATGATTGCCTCTTGGAGTATTCCTTCTTTGGTTAGCTTGGTAAACTCCGCATTGATTTTCCTGTTCCTGTCTCCCCCTGAACTCCCTTTTTCTGCTTGACCTCCTTGGTGCCTGGCTTAATCATAAGTATGTGTTCTATGACTTCTCTGTCTACTCCCACCATATCAGTGGGGGTCCAGACGAAAACGTGCTTGTATTTCTTTAAGAGACTAATCAACGCGTGTCTTTTCGTCAGGGGAAGGCTGCCTCTATGCTGACCATTTGATCCGGTTGCTCTCTGTTGATGATCTCACTTCGCTTATTGGCTCCGCTTGTGATCTTTTACTTTCCTATGTGATCTCTCTAGGCTGCATGATCTCGTAGCATTGCAGTTCTTTTGGCGGCGTTACCAGGACTGTCCCTGGTCCTTCCGTTGTACTGAATTTCACTTTTCCATGCATTATTGATGGGATTGCTCCAAATTTGAGTAGGGCCGTCCATCCGAGAATGATGTTGTGCTCCGCGGGGTGCCGGATTACAACAAAATCTACGAGGGTATCTTCTTTTTCGCCTTGTCGTGGCTGGTCAATGTGAACGGCATGTGGATCATACCTAGGGGCCACATGTTGTGTCCTATGAAGCCTGTCAGTCGTCCCGTTGCATGTTTGAGGCTATCCTTCCACCTATCTAGGAGGAGACGGAAACAATGTCCGTAGATAATATGTGCTGAACTTCCGGTGTCGATGTATACCCGGTGGATAGTGATGTCTTTGATGGATCCCTGAATTATGAGCGGTTCATATCCTCGCCAACCTGTAGGTTGCGGGTCTTTTGCTGAGAACGTTAGGCCATGCATGGATTTTGTGAGATTGTCTACCCCGCTGCATTCTTCATGCCTCCCTCTTTTGGATCTGATCATTAGGATTTCATGGGGTTGGTCATGCTCCTTGGCCGCGTCTTTAGCATTTTCGGCATCAAACTTGGCGCTGAGGCTCCGCGTTACATCTATCAGTTTCCCTTTTAGTTGTTTACCCTCCATTTCCCTTTTTAACACTGAATAGTTGATTGTGTCGTGTGTTTTACTTTTGTAGTATTCGCAGTACCGTCCTTTTGCTCCTTTTACTGGTTGTCTATCGATGACTGCATAGATGTCTGTCCGTGTGCCTCTCCTATCATCTCTTTGGAATGACCTAAAACGTCCTTGTGGGCGTTCATGCCGAAAGTGCCTGACACCGCCTGGAGTCTCCGGGTGGTGCGACGGTGGGTTGTGATGCTTTGTGGTTGAGGCAGTCATGGGGTTCAAGTACGCTTGCTTGATTTCCTCCCCTTCTTCTTGCCTTAGATAGCGCTCCACATTTTCTTTTAGTTCAGCTCGTGTTTGGCGTTTCTTCCCCATGAGTTTCTAGGATAGTGGTCCTGGGAGGAGTCCCTATATCAAGGCGCCTGTTATTAATCCTTCATCATGCCCTGGAACGTCTAATGTAGCATTAGTAAAACTGGTGAAATACTCTCACACCATTTCCCCTTCCGTCTGCTTGCAACCAATGATCGGGTGTGAATCTCCATTATATTTGCGTAGTTGCATGAAATTCGTCAGGAAAAGATACTTTAGCTGGCCGAAATTGTAAATGCTCCCAAGGTGTAACTTTTTGAACCACGTTCTTGCGTTGCCGTCTAAGATCGTTAGGAAATATATACACCAGAATCGCTCGTCCAATATTAGCGAGGTCATTGTCCACTCGTAAGTATCAATGTGATTGTATGGATCTGTGGTTCCATTATTGGTCTTAAGGTGTAGCAGCTTTTCTGTATTTGGGATTCATAGTCTAGGAGTTCTATAGTGAATGGAGATGTCACACTGCATGATAAACAATCTTGGTTTGGGATTGAGAAAGCGTCCTGGGAGTTGAACTGTTGAGCAGTGAGGTATGGTTGCACCAGCATGTTGTTGTACGCTGAAAGGTGCCCTGGAGTTAGGCCATAATAGCTTTGCTACTGGAATGGGAAGGTTAGTGGTTGGATTTCTAGGAGTGGCGGGTTAGGTGCGAACAAATGGTTTGTCGTGAATGGCAGATCCTGTGGATTTATTGTGTTGAAGGGTATGTTTGTCACAAACAGGGGTGTTCGGAAAACCGATGTTTGTTCTCTTGGCATCTGGTTTAGCGGTGGTGCTTATGGGAGAACCGGTGAGCCGTTGTCACTCTCCACCGTTGGTGGTGTCATGCAAATTGAGATGGTTGTTAGTTGTTGGTTTTTTGCGGAGGCGTTTTGTGTCAACATGGTGGCGAAGGACATTGATCCTTCAACGATTGGTCTTCATAATTTGCTCATTGAAGCGGTAGTTATTATTGAGCCATCTTGTTGTGGTGCTTCACTGGTAACTGGTGTGAAGATGTGAGTGGTTACTTGTTCCAACGACATCATAGGCCGGATGGGGCTCGTCGGTGTACCACTAGCTCCACAGGTTACACCGTTTGCCATCTTCAGGTGTTGAGAAGTGTGATTTTGCTTTGTTGTTCGTCACACATCAGATGGTGCCAAATGATGCGACCTCATCACCAGGTGCTGAGCTCTGCTACTTCTAATTGTTCCGATCAACCTGCAAGGTCACAACAGGGTGGAACCGTCAGCCGTTCTCCGGGAAAAGGCTCCCGGGAAAACGCTCTGATGGACAAGTCAATGGATAGACTTGGATGGTTTTCTAGGTAGAAATGGCAGGGAACGACTTACTTCTCTAGGTACCAGAGGAAACCTTTTATACTAAGGCCTCCTGCTAGTCGGTACGAGAAAAGGGCGTCAGACCCGACAGGATTTGGAGCGCTGATTGGGCAATCGTGCTCCTTGTTCTGTCAGAGCTAACGATTGGTTCAGGTGGTAATGCGTTGAGTATCCTCCTTGTCGCCTGGAGTCGTTATAATTTGTCGCGGAGTAGAAGGCGCCCTTAGCTGGGTCGGGCCTTCTCCAATTTGACCAAATCTTAATTCATGTAGCAAAATTATTCAAATTCTATAAATAATTAGTTTTTTCACATAATCAAGTAATTATCTTAAAATTTGACAATCATCATTTAATTGGATGAGGATAAACACTACCATATTAGAAAAATCAGATTTTACGATACAAAACAGTTTAAGGCAATGATCCTAATCCAATTCTGGCCAAAAAACCCAAAAAGCTGCAAACAGGTGATCCAACTTGTCGAGTTAGATACTGGACTCGTCGAGTTCATCACCAAATGACCCAACTTGTCGAGTCCACTCATGGGACTCATAGAGTCCACTGTTCAGACAGCAATTTTTTCAATTTTTTCAACTTTAAACAATTAACCAATGCATCAATATAACAGAAAACACCCATGGCTCTGATACCACTGTTGGGTTTTATGTACTATAACACTCCTATGGTGCACATACAACCCTAATGCCTTGGATCTAAGTTTTCTTTAATTATACATGCAACTTCATATTATCCAAAGCATATACCCTAGCTAGCATGCAATTGGAGATATACCACATAAAAAACTAGTTAGATGAATACCTCTTTTATGTAGCTTGTATAACTTGGCCTTGCAAGAGCTTAGCACCTCAAGTGTGATGCCTCAAATGGTTCACAAACACCAAAAACAAGAGGAGGACTTTGAGAGAGAGGTTATCAAGCTCCAAATTCGGATAGGGTTTCATCTATGATCACAAGTGTCGATTTTGGGAGTCTAGGGGTTACTTTTATAGTGTGGAATTCCTAGGGTCTAACTTGTAAACCCTAATTAACTTCCTTGGGCCTTTAATCCAATAATCCATATGATAAGCCCTTTCGACTAACTCTTCATCGGTTCCCACATAGAATTAGTCCATCCTAATCAATATGGATCATTAGCCCAAACTATAAATATTACTGATTGACTTAATCAGTCCCCGTTAATTTAATCAGTCTCTTGTGATCACTAAATTAATTCCAAATTAATTCTTGATCAATACTAATTAAATAATATGATTTTTTAATTAATGTATTATACTTATAATATATTAATAAACCACAACTAACCTCTTTCTCAAAAATCCTTCCTATCAAATTGCTCTGGTGAAGGCAACCCAAAATGGACCATGCTTCTATTGGGTCAAGTACATACCAATTATAGTTATGGGCTTAGACACCTAATCCAACACTAGGAGCTCAGGTTAAGGGTTGTGAGGAGGACCTCCTTGTCTGTTCTTGCTTGGTTGGGACTTGGAAGTCCGAGTCACATACTAAAAGCTTGATAGGGTTAGTTAAGTCTTGTAGGTTTGGTGTATGTGCCTATGTTAGAACACATCAGCAGTTAGTGGTTAGCGGATCGGGGGTAAGCCCGAGAGTTGATAGTGGTTAGCGGATCGGGGGTAACCATGAGAGCTATTAGTGGTTGGCAGGTTAGGGGTAAGCTTGAGTGTTGTCAGTGAATACCAGAGTAAGGAAGTTAGAGCCGACTGGGTATATGGCCTAGTTTAGTATGCGATCGATTGGGTTTCCCTTCAAGCTCGTTAGTGCATTTATATGTAGGGTTATTGATGACAACGGTCAGTCGTGGGTTCTATATTCGGCTTACCAGTAGGACGGAGCATGACTGGGAGGATTTCAGACCGATCAAATATGCGGATTTTAGTCGACAAAGTGGATTTATAGGCTAGTGTAGTCTTCATTTGTTGGGCTTGTTTTGGGGGTTTCGTTTGTACGTTGGTGTGTGAGGTTGTCGGCTATGGTGTTGGTTACAGATTCCTTCTTCGGCTATTTGATAGGTAACACAAGCTCAAGAGCTTGATCAGTTTAGGTCTGTGAGTGTTTGGTCAGCAGAGGTGGTGTATGGGGTGGATCTATCTACCTGGATGTTAGGTATGAATTTGGGGTCTACAAGTGTGACATCCCCAAAATCACGGCCAGAAAAGACCGGTTTAATTTATGCTTTTAAAATGATTTCAGAGTAATCCTTTGATTAAAAGAGTTGCGGAATTTGTTCCCAAAACGAAATATGATAAAAAATAAGATTTACCAAAGCATTTCATAAAGAAATGTATTTTCATTATATAACAAAACTCGGGATGTCATGTTCCGATAAACAGACCAAAAGCATAAACATTACAATACAGACCTTACAACAGTTATATAAAACAACAGGTCTATAATCCAAAAATAACTTGACAAGTCATCCACCTTATGCTCTGGCGCCACTACCTGTAATACAAAGAAAACTGAGTGGGTCAGGCTTGGGAGCCTGGTGAGCATATAGGGTTTTCAACCCACAATAAATAATTATATTTAATTCTACCAACCAAAATAACCCAATTACCCATTCCCGTTATTCTCACTTTACGTCCCTAAGACAACTAACATAAGGGACCTAGTCTAAGAATATTTCATCGGGGGCGACAGCACATGCTTCGGGGGTTCCTCAGCAATATAAGTCAAATAAGGCAACCATGAGGGAGATGGAGTACAACGAATGAACACCCAAGTTCATTAACACCTACAGGTGGCGAGCCTGCTAGCGTTCCAAAAGACTGTCTAGAAAAGTCTATGGTCGTCATCTGTCACACTAGTCAAAAGTAGGTCAATAACAATCACATATGTTTATACCAATCATGTAATGTGATTTTGTCAAAACAAGTAAAGTAGTAAACTTACTATGTATTTCATGATAATTCTAATATAAATATGAACTTTCATACATACTTTATAGTATAAATCAAAGTATGCGTCCATACGATTCCAAAAATATAGAGAACGTCTAAATCTGACTTCGCGTGAAGAAGTTATGATAAACCGAACACTATAAATCTCTATAAAAAGAGGAATTAAAAATAGACTTAGAATTAGCTATTTGAGTCTAAATATAGTTGTAGTACTCGGAATTACCTACGCGTAGATATAAAGAACGTCAAAACGGAGTTCGTATGCAAAAGTTATGGCCTTCCGAAGATTTCGCTGTCAGAAACCCTAATTTGACTGAACTCACGACGTGAGCACAAAAACTCATGACGTGAGGATTCAAACCGCCATATTTCGGATCTAGAAGGTGTGACGAGGCTGCGAGGGGATAAGATCCAAACTCACGACGTGAACATTGATATTTCACGACGTGAGGAGTCATTTTGCCACCTTCGGAAGCTAGAAGACGGATGGCAAGTCTACGAAGAGATAAGATCCAAACTCACGACGTGAACAATGAGTTTTTCACGTCGTGAGGGCCAAAAAATCTTACTATAAATAGCAAGATCGACCCCAGCCATTCTTACACCTGAACTTCTTTCTCCTCTCTCATTTGCTGAAGCCCTCTTGCATCCCGAACCCCTACGACCTCGTACGCTGACCGTTTCTGCTTAGATTACATAAAATCACGTTACTAAGGTGAGTTTCACGGCCCCACTTTCTAATATTTTCGGGGGAAAACGCATGCTAATATTGTATATTTATTTATTATGTCTATATGATGTATATTAGTATCAACATAGATAGTTATAATAACCGGGATATAGTTATTTCATATATGAAAATATACAACTATCGTAAAGTTGTTAGCATGTTATTGTTATAGTAGTATACTAATGTAGATCATGAGTTATACTTAGGATTCTATATATATGTTGTGTGCGATATAGTTCCAGAGTTATACTCGGAAGTTCTATATGTTAATTGATAAGTATGTTGTTATCATTGGTTTTATGTCAAGATAAAACATGGTTTTAATTCTAATTATAGCTGTTGTACTACCGCAAGGTGTGATCCTTGTACTACCGCAAGGTGTAATCCTTGTACTACCACAAGGTGAAATCCTTGAACTACCTCAAGATGTAATCCTTGTACTACCGCAAGGTGAAATCCTTGTACTACCGCAAGGTGTAATCCTTCTACTACCGCAAGGTGTAATCCTTGTACTACCGCAATGTGTGATCATTGTAATAATAATAAGAGGTATAAAACTAAGTCATACAGTCGCAGCTACAGACTCATGGTAGCACAACTTTAGAAGCAATATACTTTGTCGATATACAAGTATGAATGTTAAGTATAAGTTTCCCAAAGACTTATACTCTAAGTATAAGAATCTAGTAGGTATATTACTTGTATATTAAGTAGACCACTACACCTATCCCACTTACTCGTATAGAATTGAAATAGATTTATACGTAGCGGTTTTACTCGTATAGAATTGAAATAGATTTATACGTAGCGGTTTTACTCGTATAGAATTGAAATAAGATTTATACGTAGCAACTAGTTTGTATGGAATACAAACACTTATAATCATGTATATGAGACTTATAGGTAAACTACTTATTTGGTAAGTAACCATTATACCTAGGATATATATACTAATGTTGGAGAGTCAAATGATACTTTCAAAACTATACTTTTGAAATTGGAAAATGT